ATGTGTGTGTCTCATGGTACAAGAATGTAGGTATTGTAATTCGTATATTAAAAGTATATAAAAATCTACTTATATTTGAAAAACCCACTTACATTTTTTGACATATCAATGCTCCCAAGCGTTGATGCATTTACCTGTATTATTTTGCCACGGTGTGTCTTCTTTTCAATAATAAAAAAAAAAATTCAGAAAATATTCAAATTCGGGTGTTTTCAAAATGCTTATTGCAATGAATGCATCGACAAAATCTACAGTTTTTGTCGCGAAATAAACCATAAGAGATATATAGAACATGATATTGAAAAGAAATTTTGACCATTCATTTAGTTTTCGCGGTTTTAAATTATTTATTCAAAATCAATGCAACAAGTTGTTTGCTTTTTTATTGTTTTGATAGTAATTCTGACATTACAAGCCAAACAGGAAGACCTCTATACTTGCAATTTTTTCAAAGTTGACCTACCTTCTCTTCATTGTACCATGCATCTACCTATATTCTTCTACCATGGAAGCAGAGCAAAATTGGAAAAAGTATTTGTCTAGTGTAAACACTAGCTTGCGCTAGCGGTTAGAGATAGTTAGATCGACTCCTAACTATCAATAAGTGGCATCATCATTTATTGTTGATGGTATGGCATCCCCTGGCCGAAAGAATGCCATATGTTGTTTGTTTTCATTTAATTTCAACGTGTGGGTAACTCCTTTCTTTTTGGGTTTTGCGTGCCTCGTGGTTGTTGTGCGCATCAATACCCGTCTAATATTTTTTAATTTTCCTTTCAATTTACACGTGTAACCGAAGGAAAATTGCAGCAAAATGAGTTTGTATAATTTTAAGAAAATTATGGTGGTTCCGCCAGCAAAGGTAAGTGAATTAAATAGCTCAAAAACTAAACTACGTTTTGGACCCCGAGAAAGAGAAGTTGCGATATCCATAACCTATTTCTGGGGGATATAGTAACAACTTTTGGGGCATCACTTTAATGTTTACAAAAAATGATGAAATTCTATGTTTGTTGTTTCTTTCCAGGACTTCATCGACATTATGTTGTCGAAGACACAACGTAAGACCCCCACCGTTGTGCACAAAGGCTACAAGATATCCCGTATTCGTGCCTTCTACACACGCAAAGTGAAATTCACCCAACAGAATTTCCACGATCGTCTGTCACAGATTATCCAAGATTTCCCCAAGTTAGATGATGTACATCCCTTCTATGCTGATTTAATGAATGTCCTGTACGACAAGGACCATTACAAATTGGCTTTGGGTCAATTGAATACAGCTCGCCATTTAATCGACAAGTAGGTGACATGAAGTTTAGATTCTAATGTAATGTTTATGTTAACCTTGTGTTTGTCTCTTTCAGTGTTGGCAAGGATTATGTACGTCTATTGAAATATGGTGATTCTTTGTATCGCTGTAAACAACTAAAGAAAGCTGCCTTGGGTCGTATGGCCACCATTATGAAGCGTCAAGCATCGAATTTAACATATTTGGAACAAGTACGCCAGCATTTGTCACGTTTGCCCACCATTGATCCCTATTCGCGTACCATAATTATTTGCGGTTTCCCCAATGTTGGTAAATCATCGTTCATCAATAAGATCACTCGTGCCGATGTTGAAGTGCAGCCCTATGCTTTCACAACGAAGTCCCTATATGTTGGTCACACCGATTACAAATACTTGAGATGGCAGGTAAGTGTTACCAGAGACTACATAAATGTGCTAGAGGATTCTATGATTTTAAAACTCAAATTCAAGCGAATTAGAAGTTACTATTAGAAAAGAGATTATTTAAGACAATGGGGAGAATTGTAGAACCATATTTGCTACTTTTATCCTGCTACCTATCAATCGGAATATTCTTCCTTCTTTGCAAGTCAAAAACAAACTATCTTTAGATGAACTTAAGACTTTAGGAATATTTAAAGAATTGTCCAACCTATGAACGATGTTTGCAACGTTTTATATTCACACTTGGTCTTCTATCCATAAAACGATGTGTCTTCTGTTGAAGCCCTTCTAATTAAAATGATTTATGATTTTTATGGTTATGCTTGAATAATACTCACAATTTTATGAAGAACAGTCTGGGGATTGCATTGTTCACCTAAAGGTTTTTAAGACCTGGGAACATTTTCACTGGTGACCGGACATAATCGCCACGGACAAGGGAGAAAGTATCACGTTAGCCAGTGCTGGGCATATCCAGAGAAGAAAGTCGCAAGGCCCGGCCGAAGGCAGGTTACTTACATAAAGTTTTAAATCTAGAAAATGTTAGTTTGCGTTAGTCGGTGCCGGACATATGCAGAGGAGAAGTCTCAAGCCCCGCCGAAGGCCGGCTTCTTATAAAGAGTTTAAAATTTAGAAATCTTTGGTTGGCCATAACGGTGCCAAACATACCCAGAGGAGAAAATCTCAATTTTTTCGCACACCCGTTCATATCCGCATTTGTTTTGGACATACCCATTATTAAGGGGACTATGTCTACTACTTCCTGGGGATTATGATCGATTTTTTCTTGGACATAATCCCTATTCTATTATGGGGGCAATGACCGAAAACAGGTCTTCCCCATAATTGTAATGGGGATTAAGTCTGTCACCTTGGAAGCCATCATATCTTAGCGCCGTTTTTGAACATTGTTCCTATTGGAAATTGTTTTATTTGAATTTTTCAAACTGAACTCTCTTGGAAAGAGTCCTATCGAAATACTTAAATTTGTATCTCTTTATATCAACTGATGTTTTTTGAAATTGTCTTTTGTTGAGGTCATATAGTTTTGCGATTATTTTGGTAGCGATTTCTAAGCCTTAAAAACTTTCAGCAAAAGAACGTCGCCTTTTTGTAAAACCATTGGATATTTCTAAATCCAGATCTCTTCTGTACTGAAAAAAAGGACATACCTCTTCAACTTTAAAGATAATTATACTATTGGAAGTAGAATAACATATTCTTCATTTTCTCTCTTTTCCAGGTAATTGACACCCCTGGTATCTTGGATCATCCACTGGAAGAACGTAATGTCATTGAAATGCAAGCCATTACCGCATTGGCTCATTTGCGTTCATGTGTTCTATACTTTATGGATATTTCTGAACAGTGCGGTCATTCACTGGAAGAACAAATCAAACTGTTCGAGAGCATCAAACCTTTGTTCACCAATAAGCCATTGATTTTGGCCATTAATAAAATCGATATTCTTGGCCTTGAAGATTTGCCGGCAGAGAAGCGTCAAGTTATTGAAAAGCTACAAGAAGATAAAAATGTTCCTGTCCTCTTTCTATCCACGGTCAGTGAAGCTGGTGTTATGGAGCTAAAAATGGAAGCTTGTGAACGCCTACTGTCGTATCGTGTTGATCAGAAAATGCGTACCAAGAAAGTCGATAACATTCTCAACCGTTTGCATGTGGCAATGCCTGCTCCACGTGACGATAAGGTACGTGCTCCCTGCATACCCGAACAGGCTTTGGCCCGTTTGGAGAAGAATGCCGCCAAGGCTGAACGTAAGCGCAAACTGGAGAAGGAAATCGAAGAAGAAATGGGTGATGATTATACATTGGATTTGCAAAAGAATTACACCGAAATTGCCGAGGAAGAACGTTACGATGTTATACCCGAATTCTGGGAAGGACACAACATTGCCGATTATATCGATCCAGATATTTTCGAAAAATTGGAAGAACTGGAACGTGCCGAGGGTATTCGCGAAGAGGGTGGTGTTTACGATATACCAGACATGACAATGGACGAAACGCTAAAAGAAATTCGCGAAATGGCCAAAAAGATCCGGCTCAAGCGTTTCATGTTGCGCGACGAAAAGCGTCTGCAACCACGCAAAAACAAACCCATTATTCCACGACACAAACAGCCCAAGGTGCGTGATCGTTCCGTTGGCAAATTGGTGGAAACCATGGAAAATTTGGGTGTCGATATGTCTGGTTCAGAAAATGCCAACTTCACAAAATCTGTTGTGGATTTGAGACGTGGTCAAATTGCCGTTGGCACCAAGAAGGAATTGAAAAAGCCCTTGCTGGATAAAGAGTCCTCGGCCATTGTTAAGAAGACCGGCCAGCCATTGAAACGTAAGCCAGCACGTGATACCATGGGCATTAAGAATGTGGCCATGAAGAAGAAAGCACAAATTATGGCCAAGAAAGATATTGCCAAGAAGGTTACACGTCTGGGTCTTAAGGGTGAAGCTGATCGTTTCATTGGTACCAAAATGCCCAAACATTTGTATGCCGGAAAACGGGGTAGTGGTACAGCGGATAGACGTTAAGTTTTTTATTTCACTTTTAGTTAAACTAATTTTTACGAGCTTACGTTGGGCGGGTAAAACAATTACACAAATCATTTAACATGGGGTCCCTTTGTTTCCTTGCGTGTGGACAAAAGGAACAGCTTTATTTTTTAGAATTTTACAAACTCTAATCATAATAATACTATGATGTACATTATGGCGTATTTAATTATGATGAAAATGATATAAATATGTAATTTAAAAGAAAATTGAAAAAAAAAAAACGTTTTTTGCTACTTTGAAAGAAAGTAATTATTTTTTAGTTGAAAGATTACAGCGAAGATGGCGAGAGTTGATGTGATGCTCTGAACTAAGAAGTAGATAGGTGGACATAAAATAGAACTGAGGAATTGAATTTGGATATTAGAATGGTAGAAATCAAATGTCTTATATATCAAACATACCACGTTAGTTCAAACATCGTTGTGAGTAAATTTAAAGTAATATTGTAATGTGAAATTAAGATTTTTATAATTAATTATAGAAACGAATTTTCGGCTTTCCGTTAGTCCATTCTGAGTTGCATCTTAGCGGTAACCGTCTGATTCACACCAAAGCCATCTCCAAACTTTCCTTAACATCGATAGGTATGATTGACTCACAAAACTCGCAAACTAAGTATCGTTTTCCAGAATGGCAATCAATTCTGAAGTGCTTCCATTTGATATACAAGCGAATAAACATCAGTTATTAGTTAGTCTAAGTCCTTTCCATCATGTGTGGGAGAAGATGAAACTATAAATAGGATGTCCACACCATACGCAATTAAAAGTTGTTTATGAGGACAATTTCACAATGATTAGGCACTCTTGAATACTGTGAAGAGTCTATAAGCATTTCCATAAACCTGTGGAAGGAAAATAACACAATTAACACCTATTTCTAAAAAATTTCTTGCCCACCTCTTTCAGTGTTATCACTGTTATATCAGCAATCCCCATGAAATTCAAAACAAACGGTTGCATGGTACACAGCAGCATATAAAGTACACGACGTCTGTATCGTGTGGAGCCATCATACCAACTGTGGGCATACAAGGATGCATTGACTAACGAACTCTGTAAATTGCGCATTTAATTGACATGTTAGATAGATATCACTTGAAACATACTTACACATTCCTTTAGCTTTTGTCCAATATAGCAAGTGATAATCACTTGTTTGCTTTCGTATAAGAGTAGTATGAAGGCCTTAACAATGGTGAAAATTGAGACATCATCCAACATTTGGTAGGCCACCAAACAAAGGGTGAACGATGAAGACATTACAGAGAATATGTTGATTTCATTGGCTACACTGAAAGAGACAAAAAATGGAATGAGTCAAAAGAAAGGATGGAGGTTGGCATTTTGTTTGCCAACCGATTGCAGGGAGACTTTAATTAAATTTTATAGAGCTGGCATTTTTAGGCACTTGAGAATAAACTTTTACCCAATTCATTATGGGATAAAAAAATACAACAAAGTCAAACGCCATAATAATTAATTTTTTTTTAATTTATTGAATGCAAACAAAATAAGTCGGAGAAAGCATCAAGTTCTAGAATAACTTTAGATTTGTTTGAATTGATCACCTTTGGCACGAATTATGGCCTTCAAACGGCCAATGAAACCATCGCGGTATTTTGGCCCATTCCCGACGAAGCACTTGCTTGAGGTGATCGACACTTTGGTATTTTTTAGTGCCAACCTTGCTTTCCAAAATACTCCAGACACAATAGTCCAACGGATTGGTATCTGGAGATTTTTGGAACCTCATTTTGTAACCATTATTGGGTGGCGCGTACTGAGTGCGATGGTGCTGAGTCCTGTTGGAATGTCCAAGGTCTGCGGTCAAATATTTTAGAATATTTTCGCGATAGTATTCGGCATTTATTCTGATGCCACAGTCGATTAATACGAGCGGAGAGCTACAATCGGTGGTTATGGCGGCCCACACCATCACCAAGGCCGGCGCTTGAGTTCTGGTGGCCAACCGAAGGTGCACATTTTCAACTGACCTCTTTGGCAAGTAGACCCGATAATCTCGTTTGTTTACAAACTGCTGGACAACGAATGTTTTCTCATCGGAGAAAACCAAATTCGGCAGTTCACCACTTTCGGCCAAGCGAAGGAACTCTTTAGCTCTCTTGAGTCTATTTTCTTTAAGTTGCGGTGTAAGTTCTTGCTCTTTTTGGAATTTCAATGGCTATACCCCAAGCTCATTTTTTCAATATTTGCCGATTTGAATATTGCGATATGTTCAGCTCACGAGCCATTTTTCGGCCACTGTTTCACGGGTTTCATTTCTGCTGATGTTATTGTTTTCTTCCATCCACTTCCTTTACTCTCTATATCAAATACAGCTAAAAATACCTTTGCCAAATTTCGAGATCGGTTCGATTCAGATTTGGATATAGCTCCCATATATATCTTCGTCCGATTTCAAGTTAATTGTACACTAAATGGGTGATATAAGCCCGAAGTTAAAAGGCACAAATGCCTCAACCAATTTAGTAGAAATCGATTCAGAGAAGGATATTCCTCACGCATACATATTTATATGCAAAGGGGTGTAGGGTATCATAAAGTCGGACCGCCCGACTTTAAGTCTTTCTTTACTAATTATACCCTACACCACAAGGTGGTCAGGGTATTATGTCTTTGTGCATTTGTTTGTAACAGGCAAAAGGAAACGAGATAGACCCATAGTTCCTTTTGATGATCTGCATAGAATCACATTCTGAGTCGATTTATGCATGTCCGTCCGTCCGTCTGTCCGTCTGTCCATGTATTTTTGTAAACAAAGTACAGGTCGCATTTATTGCCCGATCCAGATGAAATTTTGCACAGATCATTTGTTTGGCCCAAGGACGAACCCTATTGAAATTAGAAATAATCGGTCAAAATTTAGATATAGCTCCCATATATATCTTCGTCCGATTTGCCTTTTATTGTGCACCAAACGTGTAATATCAGTCCGAATAGTATGGAATTTTGCACATACAACCAAATTAGGCCTGAAAATAAGTATGCCAAATTTGATCGAAATCGGTTCAGATATAGCTATAGCTCCCATATATATTGTTCATCGGATTTGTTTTTTTTGCCCTCTGCAGCCGTAGTATGAACTCTGCAACAACAATATTTAGGGAAATGTATCAAATACAGCTCAGAAATACCTTTGCTAAATTTTATCGAGATCGGTTCAGATTTGGATATAGCACCCATATATAACTTCGTCCGATTTACGTTTTATTGTGCACCAAACGTCTAATACTTGTCTAAATGAGACAGAATTTGGCACTTACGACCGAATTGAGTCTAGAAGCTAGTTTGTTAAATTTGGTGAAGATCGGTTCAGATATAGCTATAGCTTCCATATATATTATTCATCCGATTTGTTATATTTGTTACCCACAGCCGTAATATGCACTCCAACGAGTGCATACCCACAATATTCAGAGAAATATATCAAATACAGCTCAGAAATATCTTTGTTAAATTTTATCGAGATCGGTTAAGATTTGGATATAGCTCCCATATATATTTTTATCCGATTTCATATTAATTGTGCACCAAATGGGCAATACAATTCCGAATTTAAAAGATACAAATGCTTCGACATATTTAGTCCTTTTACCTTTAAATTATAATTATAATCATAGCGTGTACGATTGAATTCTCCCATAAAAACTTTTAATTGTTATGTGGAGCTCTACTAAATTAACAACGTGGTGTAGGGTATCATAAAGTCGGCCCCGCCCGACTTTAAGACTTTTTTTTCTCTTTTTTTTTTGAATATTTCATAATTCATTCCAAATGGTTGAGAGTTCGGCCGGGCCGAGCTTACTGCTTCTTTACTTGTTTTAATTTGAATTAGATGTCTGAAGCCAACAAAATTTACAAATTTGAAAAAATTTCGTACACATATTAATCTGGTAGATAAATGATGCTTACTTTGTTATCATCCAATGTTGTTGTGTTAAACCCCGCAACTTTTTCGAGGCTATTTCCTCTCCGCTAGCTGGTTGCAATTCCAAAATTCGCTGAGATAATAGATCATAATGCATACACATCTGAGTTATTAAGCTATACAAGCAGAGGTCACAACCAGTGATGGTTAGCCCCGAAAAAATCGATGAAGATCCACCAATCAGATAGTAGAACAGATATGTTAACCACCAGTTACTATCCATGGGATCACCCATTTTCCAAAGGCATAGAGGTAGTAACAAAGTGAATTTTCCCAAAGTCCAAATATTCTTTAAAGACTGCAGCAATGGCAGGGCTACATAGACTGGACCCACCAAACGATAAAATGACCAAATGAATTTTTCAATTCGAGAATAATAACGAAAATGTTTGTTTAAATTGTATTTTTCTTCGATGTGTTGTGTGGGATATATTTCTTGCAGGGTTTCCAGAACTTTAGCCAATGTCTGACGGCGATAATACATGCAGAGAAGTTTTCCCAATCCCACAAAAATATAATTAAAGTAAATCATGTTGGTCAATACATCGACATCCTCATCCTGGGTTGTGAAATTATACATAAGCTGCAGAACGATGCTAATGGATTGATTTAAGGTGATTGTGATTTGTAGATATTTTGAAAAGTTTCTCGGTTCCATTGTCATATCGACACCAAGGAATTTTAAAATAAATCGCGATACTTTAAGGTATTGTGAAAATTGCTTTAAAGCGTCCGCGGTGGCCATAATGTTGTTACCGATTGTGTTTTATTGACTGAATAAATGCCTGGAATGTTTTTCAGAAAATTATTGTTTACATTTGCTGGGAAATTTATGTGGTTTGCAAATTCCTTTTGTGTTAAAATATTTAACATCAAACTCACCGCTAATTTAGGCATGTTGCGGACGGTATGAAATCTGTCTAAATGTCGTAAGTCCAAGTTATCACTGTAATGTCTGGTGATAGTGAAAAAGACTTTTCCTAGAAAGAAGAAAGAATCCTCAACATCATAAATTAGTATATATCCACACACTCTGATGTCTAATATCATCTAGTCCAGATGGATCAAGATGCAGCCAATTATTACGAATTCTATGCTCATGAGAACGAGTTCAACGCCATGGGTATTGGTGGAAGTTTTCCCGCCTCACCGATTTAGCTTAAAGGTGGGAATACATAAATCGCATATCTGACTGGCTTCTTCGGAAATGAACAAAGGAGCCTATGACCAAAATCGAACTGAGTCAACCAAAAAGTCTTTTGTTCATCTACGAGGGATCCAGTCAAATATGCGCTTTATGTATTTCCACCCTAAGTTTGGCAAATGAAAATTGTTGTTGCTCATATAACAATACTGTTGCTCATAAAACAATAGGTCTGTCTGATTACCCCAACATTTGTAACAATTGTTGCAAATCGTTACTAGAAGTCGTTTGTTATTACAATCAATTTTTTATAAGAGAGAGAGAGAGAGAGAGAATAAAAATGCTTCTTTTCTAATCACCTAATCACATTCTGCAACGGAGAACCGAGCTTCGGCACCAACAGGAATCTTCATCTCAGAAGAAAAATATGATAAAGTTTACATAAGGAAATGACTACTATAGGGCAGGGAAGTTCCGCCAATTTGCGCATTTTTGAAAATATTTGAGTCAAACCTGCATTTTAGGTATATGGTGTACAGGGTGAAATGAAAAAACTGCAACTGCTGTCATTTCTAAGCCACTCGTCCGACAGCTGTTAAAATTATTCCAGTGACAGCTCATTATCTTATTTACAAGCGTACAAAAGCATTTTGTGAGAATTTTTCAGAAAAAAGTTATTCGTGATGGCATTTAAGCGTGATAGTGTGATTTCTTTATATTTGGCTGGAAAACCACAAGTGGCTATGGTTAGAGCACTCCAGCATTTGAATGTGAATAAATGTTTTGTGTCTCGTACCCTCGCTCGTTACCGTGATCTTGGTAGCATAGCCCGACGTCAAGGAAGAAAACAGCAACATCAGCAGAAATGGTTCGAAAAGTAAAGAAGCGACTTGATCGAAACCCGCGTCGCAGTGGCCGAAAAATGGCTCGTGAGGTGAACATATCGCAATATTCCATTCGGCAAATATTGAAAATTGAGCTCGGCATAAAGTCATTGAAATTCCAAAAAGTGCAAGAACTTACACCGCATCAGAAAGAAAATAGACTCAAAAAAGCTAAAGAGTTGCTTCGCTTGACCGAAATGGTGAACTGCCGAATTTGGTTTTCTCCGATGAGAAAACATTCGTTGTCCAGCAGTTTGTAAACAAATAAAATGATCGTGTTTATTTGTCAAAGAGGTCAGTCGAAAATATGCACCCTCGGTTGGCCACCAGAACTCAAGCGCCGGCCATGGTGATAGTGTGGGCCGCCATAACAGCCGGTGGTCACTCTCCGCTCATATTAACCGAAATTGGCATCAGAATAAAAGCCGAATGTATTAAAGCCTTTGGCATGCAAACATTTTGGCCGCAGACCTTGGATGTGGTGTCCGTTGGATTTGCAATTTTCGAATTTCGAAAAAAGGAAAGTTGTGCTGAATTGTGCTAGGTTTGTGCTCAATTGTGCCGAAATTTTTTTTCGAAATTCGAAAAAATTTCTGAGATATTCGAAAAAAGATTTTTTTTCGAAAAAATCTGAGAGAATTGCAATTTTCGAATTTCGAAAAAATTTAAGTTGTGCTGAGTCGTACTCGGTTTGTGCCCATTTGTGCCGTTAAAATTTTTTCGATATCTCTTACCAATTTCGAAAAAAACGATAATTTCGAAAGTATGTCAGAATTGCAATTTTCGAATTTCGAAAAAATTAAAGTTGTGCTGGGTCGCGCTTGATTTGTGCTAACTTGTGCCGTTTATTTTTTTTTCTCAATATTTTCAACCGTTTTCAAGATATGGCAATTTCGAAAAAACCAGTATTTTTCAGAAAAATTGCTGTAATTTTTGTAAAATTTCAAATATCGAGATGGGGTAAATTGTGCTGAGTTGTACTCACTTAGCACAATTTTTCGTGCATACATAACGAATTTCCACCTTTACTCGTTACTCGCTAAAAATTAAAAAAATGAATAACTTTTGTAATATGTGGAATTTTTGAAATCTGCAAGTTGTGCTGAATTGTGCTCACCTAGCACAATTTTTCGTCCATACATTGGAAATTTGTATCTCTACTCGTTACTCGTTAAAATCGTAAAAATCAAAATCGCATAATTAGAAACAAGATATCGAAAAACTAAAAGTTGTGCTGATTTGTGCTAACCTAGCACAATTTTTCGTCCATACATTGAAAATTTGTATTTCCACTCGTTACTAGTTAAAATTGGAAAAAATACATATATAACGAAAAATTGCTGTAATTTTTGTAAAAATTCAAATATCGAGATGCGGTAAATTGTGCTGAGTTGTGCTCACTTAGCACAATTTTTCGTCCATACATTGGAAATTTGTATCTCTACTCGTTACTCGTTAAAATCGTAAAAATCAAAATCACATATTTAGAAACAAGATATCGAAAAATTACTGCAATTTTTCGTTATATATGTATTTTTTCCAATTTTAACTAGTAACGAGTGGAAATACAAATTTTCAATATATGGACGAAAAATTGTGCTAGGTTAGCACAAATCAGCACAACTTTTAGTTTTTCGATATCTTATTTCTAAATATGCGATTTTGATTTTTACGATTTTAACGAGTAACGAGTAGAGATACAAATTTCCAATGTATGGACGAAAAATTGTGCTAGGTAAGCACAATTCAGCACAACTTGCAGATTTCGAAAATTCCACATATTACAAAAGTTATTCATTTTTTTAATTTTTAGCGAGTAACGAGTAAAGGTGGGAATTCGTTATGTATGGACGAAAAATTGTGCTAAGTGAGCACAACTCAGCACAATTTACCGCATCTCGATATTTGAAATTTTACAAAAATTACAGCAATTTTTCTGAAAAATACTGGTTTTTTCGAAATTGCCATATCTTGAAAACGGTTGAAAATATTGAGAAAAAATAAACGGCACAAGTTAGCACAAATCAAGCGCGACCCAGCACAACTTTAATTTTTTCGAAATTCGAAAATTGCAATTCTGACATACTTTCGAAATTATCGTTTTTTTCGAAATTGGTAAGAGATATCGAAAAAATTTTAACGGCACAAATGGGCACAAACCGAGTACGACTCAGCACAACTTTAATTTTTTCGAAATTCGAAAATTGCAATTCTCTCAGATTTTTTCGAAAAAAATCTTTTTTCGAATATTTTCGAATTTCGAAAAAAAATTTCGGCACAATTGAGCACAAACCTAGCACAATTTAGCACAACTTTCCTTTTTTCGAAATTCGAAAATTGCAATTCCAACGGACACCACATAGACCTTGGAGACTCTAACAGGAATGTGCACCATCGCACTCAGCACTCGCCACCTAAGAATAGTTACAAAATGAGGTTCCTTGCTTCATTTCCAGCGCACAATGGCCACCAAAATCTCCGCATACCAATCCGTTGGACTATTGTGTCTTGAGAATTTTGGAAAGCAAGGTTGGCACTAAAAATATTAAAGTGTCGATCACCTTAAGCAAGCTCTTGCCCGGGAATGGGCCAAAATATCGCAGATCAACATTGGGGCAGCGTGTGACGGTTTCATTGGCCATTTGAAGACCATAATTCGTGCCAAAGTTGATTTATTCGAACAAATCTAAACTTAATCTAAAATTTGATGCTATTTCCGACATTTTTTGCTTTCATTCAAATAAAATTAAAAAAAAAATGTAAAAATTATGGTGTTCGACTTTGTTGCAGTTTTTTTATCTCACCCTGTATATGCAAGCGCCAGCTACGTCGTCAGGGAAAAGTCCATCTAAAAATTTTAGATTAGTTCCAAAAGTTCGTGTTAGGGCTTTTTATACCCTCCACCATTTTATGGAGGGTATATTAGCTTTTTCATTCCGTTTGTAAGTCCTCGAAATATTCATAATAGACCCTACAAAGTATATAAATTTTGCATACATGCATAGTTTACCAGTAGGCAGGTTAAGTTCGTAAATGGGCCATATCGGTCCACGTTTTCGTATATAACGATACCACCCGATATTCGGCATTTTAATGATTTTAACGACATTATTCACCGGAATTATTTCAAATTTAGTATTTAAAGTTCGCATGACAGAAAATTGTCCATGCAGGTCCACGTTTTTGTATAGCCCCCATATATTCGGATACCTTCCGATATACGGTATTTTGATGATTTCAGCAACATTATTCACCGGAATCGTTTCAAATTTCATTTTGGAAAATCTTAATGGATACTACAGCCTAAGACAGAAAATTGTCTGTGCAGGTCCACGTCTTCGTATAGCCTCAATATAATGGTATTGCCCTATATTCGGTATTTTAATGATTTTAGCTACATTATTCACCGAATTTTTTTCAAGTTTCGCAGTTGAATATTGTAATGGCTTGTGACAAAAGTTGCATATGCAGATCCACATCGTCGTATAGACTCTAATACACATTCGGTATTTTTAAGATTTTAACAGAATTTTTAACGGATTTTATTTTTTTGAAAATTGCCAAATTCGTTCCAAATTGTGGAGGGTATTCAAAGTTCGGCCCGGCCGAACTTACAGCTTTTTTACTTGTGTTTTTTTTTTTTGAAAAATTTCAAGTTTCTTCCAAATGGAGGAGAGTATTAAAAGTTCGTCCCGGCCGATCTTACCTACTTTTTTTACTAAAAAATTGGTCATTTGGTTCTTAAAAATATTTCTGAGCAGTTGAAAAATAATACTTACTTTGTTACAATCAAATGCTGACGTGTTAAAATACCCAGCCGTTTCGTAGCATTCTCTTCTCCCGCGGCCGGTTGCAGTTCCATAATTCGCTGAGATAATAGATCATAATGCATACACAGTTGAGTTATTAAGCTATACAAACAGAGATCACAGCCAGTGATGGTCATTCCCGAAGAAATCGAAGAAAATGCACCAATCAGATAGTAGAACAGATATGTTAACCACCAATCGTTATCCAATGGATCGCCCATTTTCCACAAAGACAGAGGTAATATTAAAGTAAATTTTCCCAAAGTCCATATACTCTTCAAAGACTGCACCAATGGTAGGGTTACATAGACTGGACCAACCAAACGATAAAATGACCAAATGAAAGTTTCAATTCGTGAATAATAACGAAAATAGCTGTTCAAATTATATTTCTCTTCGATCCGCTGTGTGGGATATATTCCATCTAGGATTTCCAGAACTTTGGCCAATGTCTGACGCCGATAATACATGGAGAGGAGTTTTCCCAATGCCACAACATTGTAATTGATGTAAATAATGTTGGTCAAAACATCAACACCCTCATCCTGGGTGGTGAGATTATAAATGATTTGCAGAACAATGATCAGAATTTGATTTAAGGTGATTGTGATTTTTAAATATTTTGAAAATTTTCTTGGCTCAATTGTCATGTCAACACCGAGAAATTTCAAAATAAATCGGGGGACTTGGAGGTAATTTTCAAATTTTTTGTTATCCTTCGATGCGTTAACCTTGGCCGTGATGTTAAGCGATTGTGTGTTGTTGGATGAATGATTGAAATGCTTATGGGAAAATCATTGCCAGCCATCAATATTTTCGTGGAAAAGTACTGAGCAGGAAGGAGTGCGAATTTTATGCGGTTTGGAAATTCTAAGGTGTTAAAATATGAAACACCCATGTGACACGTGCAACGTAGAGTCTACAGGAATTAACCCACTATTATACACTATGAAGGATGAAGGATTTTTATTTAAAACTAATGTGGAAATTTGGAAGAGGTTAAGACAATAACTTGTTCCAGGTTAATGTACGTGGATGGCACACTTTCAGTTTTGTGGTTAACGACCGCAAACGTTGTAAATATTTACATTTTTCAACGCAACAATGTTTGCTAATTGACATAACCAGGCACTGAGGACATTGAAATAAAATTGTGGCAAAATTATAAAGACACCTGTTTGATTTGTTGCAGATTAAAAAAAAATCGTTCAACAAAACAAACACGGTAGGGAGCTTTTAGTTTTCAATAATAATAAAAGTTATAAACGAACAAATAATTAAATTTTATTACCAAAATGCGTGCTTTGTTAAGAAAGTTCATGGATCACTTTTTATACCCTCCACCATGAAAAGGAGGGTATATTAACTTCCGTTTGTAATAATAAATATTCCACATTTTACTTATTTGGTTAATTGCTTGGCTTAAGGTCATTAAAAAACTACGTTTTTATTTTTGAATTTTTCCTTTTTTATTCATCCAATATTTCGATTTCCTCCGGAAATCATCTTCAGGGATATTTTTAAAGTAAAAAGCTCGTCTATTGAGTTTAAATGTCAGTTTGATAAAAAAGGAAAAATTCAAAAATAAAAACATAGTTTTTTAATGACCTTAAGCCAAGCAATTAACCAAATAAGTAAAATAAATATAACAGGTCAACAATATACAACAACAATATTCCACATTATTTGGCGTAGGGCTTCAATTTGGCAGAACAATTTGTATTGTGTCTAGGATGGTTGGTATTGAAAATGAGATATATCTGTCTACGTTTTGGAACTATTTTACGGCCTAATAAAGGTATCTCCCGATATTCGGTATTTTAATCGTTTTAGATACATTTTTTACGGATTTGTCCAAAAATTGTCATTTATTGTTCCTAATGGATTCTAGCTCCAGTGGCGGAGCTATATACAGGGTGAGATAAAAAAAACCACAACAAAGTCAAATGCTATAATTTTCACTTTTTTATACCCTACACCACAAGGTGGTCAGGATATTATGTCTTTGTGCATTTGTTTGTAACAGGCAAAAGGAAACGAGATAGACCCATAGTTCCTTTTGATGATCTGCATAGAATCACATTCTGAGTTGATTTATGCATGTCCGTCCGTCTGTCCATGTATTTTTGTAAACAAAGTAAAGCTCGCATTTATTGCCCTATCCAGATGAAATTTTGCACAAATCATTTGTTTAGGACGAACCCAATTGAAATTGGAGATAATCGGTCAAAATTTAGATATAGCTCCCATATATCTTCGTCCGATTTGCCTTTTATTGTGCACCAAACGTGTAATATCAGCCCGAATAGTATGGAATTTTGCACATACAACCAAATTAGGCCCTTAGTATGCCAAATTTGATCAAAATCGGTTCAGATATAGCTATAGCTCCCATATACACTGGTGGCCAAAACTAAAGCAACTGCAATTAAAAGGAGAATGAATGCCCTGTAACTTTTTCAAATATTAAGAAAATGAGAATGAGTTTTTCTTGTTTTAAATTAGGTACTTTATTCACTTTTTAAAAACTTAAAACATAAAACCAAAATTCATTTTTATATAAAAAATAATGTTTGGTTAATTGACTTAACCCGATTTTGGCTTGGACAAAACAAAAGCAACTCTGTTGTACATTCATATAACCGCTGCAATTTCAGTTGTTTTTACTGTGATATTTATCGCTTTTTGCTTCCTTCGGCAATTTCGCTTGTCATAAATCCTTTTTGAGAAGTTTTTTACAACAGTATGTGTTTTTCTTTTCGTTTTTTAAGTACTGCCCAAAAAAATTTTAAAAATGGCTAAAAGCAAATACAATACCTGAATAAAACAGCAAATTATCAGTGACTATCAAAACAACATATCACAGAAAATGATTTCCGAGAAATATTTCATAAATATTTATGTGATTTCATAATTATTTCTGTATACTAATTCGGTTTTTTGAAACTGGATCAGTAGTAAAAGTCTATAACGGAAGAAGGCCGTGAAAAACTTCAGCCCGTACTGATCCACAAATTGTGAGAGAAATTAAAAACAACTATTTAAGAGTTCAACTGGATTGGTGAGAGAGCAATCATTGGATATAAGCTCGAGATCAGTGCGTAGACGAGTAGTGGCAGCTGGTCTGGATGCCCGTAAGACATCAAAAAACCATTCATATCTGAAAAAATCAAAAAGGCTTTCGAAAACGATAATATTAAGTGGAATCAAGCTCAATGGAAAAAAACATTATTTCTGGGATGAGTCTACGTTTAATATTAAAGGCTCAGACGTGAAAAATTTTACGGTGAGAACCAAAAAATGAAGGAATGCAAAGGTACAGTGAAGCATGAGGGAGGGTCAAAAATGGCGTGGCGCTGTTTTTCATTCTATGGACTTGGGCCTATCCATAAAATAAAGGAAGTTATGGATCGGTTTGTTTACAAAGATGTGTTAGACATCGCATTGTTCCCTTACGCTGAGTAAAATATTCGGCTGATTTGGGTGTTTCAGCATGACAATGATCCCAAACTTGTATCAAAACTTGTCAAATATTGGTTGCGGGAGTCAAAAATTCATGTTTTGTTATGGCCGGCACAATCACCTGACCTAAACTCCTTAGAAAACCTTTGGAGTATCGTAGATAGGAAGATCAAGAGAGATTCGGAAATAAAAAAGCACAACATTTTCTAAAGAATTCGGGGTGCCTGGGAAAGCACACCCAAGGATCAAATTGAGCGTGTTATAGATTCAATGCCTCGTAGGTGTGCAGCTGCTATCAAAAATAATGGTTATGCTATCGACTACTAGCCAAAATTTAATTATTTTAAAATAAAAACAAAAGTTGCTTTAGTTTTGACCAAGCAAAAATTGGGTCATTTTAGTTTTCCACATATTATTTTTCTTTCAAAATTATTTTTGTATTTTTTTTAGTTTCTTAAAAGTGAATTAAACCCCTCATTTAAAACTGGAACAAGTAAAAAAACATTAAGTTCGGCCGGGCCAAACTTTTAATACCCTCCACCTTAGGGTAAAAGAAACATTAGAAGAAATGTGGCAAAAACCATTAAAATGCCGATTATGGGGAGGTACCGTTATATGGGGGCTATACCAAAACGTGGACCTATAATTACAATGTTTCGCCACCGGAGCTGGAACCCATTATGACCCACAAATACCAATTTTTAGACAAATCAGTGAAAAAATGTGGCAAAAACCATCAAAATACCGAATATCGGGAGGTACCGTTATATGGGGGCTATATCAAATCATGGACCCATGCATGCAATGTTTCGCCACCGAAGCTGGAACCAATTATGACCAACAAATACCAATTTTCGAACAAATCCCTGAAAAAATGTGGCAAAAATCATCAAATTACCGAATATCGGGAGGTACCGTTATATGGGGGCTATACCAAAACGTGGACCTATAATTACAATGTTTCGCCACCGGAGCTGGAACCCATTATGACCAACAAATACCGATTTTCAGACAAATCCGTGAAAAAATGTGGTAAAAAAAATTAAAATACTAAATATCGGGAGGTACCTTTATATGGGGGCTATACCACAACGTGGACCTATACATGCAATGTTTTGCCACACGCTCAGAGACCCGCTATGACCTACAAATACCAATTTTAAGACAAATCCGTGAAAAAATGTGGCATAAATCATCAAAATACCGAATATCGGGATGTACCGTTATATGGGGACTATACCAAATTATGGACCCATACATTCAATGTTCCGCCACCGGAGCTGGAAACCATTATGACCCACAAATACCAATTTTTAGACAAATCGTTGAAAAAATGTGGTAAAAAAAACTAAAATACTAAATATCGGGAGGTACCTTTATATGGGGGCTATACCACAACGTGGACCTATACATTCAATGTTTTGCCACACGCTCAGGGACCCGCTATGACCTACAAATACCAATTTTAAGACAAATCCGTGAAAAAATGTGGCATAAATCATCAAAATACCGAATATCGGGAGGTACCGTTATATGGGGACTATACCAGAACGTGGACCGATATATCTCATTTTCAATACCAACCATCGTAGACACAATGCAAATAGCTCTGCTAAATTTTGGAACTCTACGTCAAATAATGTGGGCTGTATCGTGATTTCAACAGACAGACAGACAGACGGACAGACAGACAGACAGACAGACAGACGGACAGACAGACAGACGGACATCGTTAAATCGACTTAGAATTTTATGCTGATTATGAATATATATACTTTATGGGGTCTAAAACGAATATTTAGGGATGTTACAAACGGAATGACAAAGTTAATATACCCTCCTTTCCAAGGTGGAGGGTATAAAAATAATTACGATCTGTTTATTTTTGTAAAAGTTACAGGACATTTATTGTCTTTGCGATTTAAGTTGCTTTAGTTTTGGCCACCAGTGTATATTGTTCATCCGATTTGTTATTTTTGTCCTCCCCAGCCGTAATATGCACTCTGTAACAACAATATTTTGAGTAATATATCAAAAACAGCTCAGAAATACATTTGCGGTTCAGATTTGGATATAGCTCCCATATATAAGTTCGTCCGATTTACCTTTGATTGTACACCAAACGTCTAATCGCAAATAGAATGAAATTTGGCACATACGACCGAATTGAGTCTAGAAGCTAGTATGTCAAATTTGGTGAAGATCGGTTCAGATATAGCTATAGCTCCCATATATACTGTTCATCCGATTTGTTATATTTGTTACCCACAGGCGTAATATGGACTCCGTAACAACGATATTCAGGGAAATATGTCAAATACAGCTCAGAAATATATTTGCCAAATTATATCGAGATTGGTTTTGATTTGGATATAGCTACCAGATATATTTTTATCTAAGTCCGAATTTAAAAGATACAAATGATTCGGCATATTTAGTCCTTTGAACTTTAAATTATAATTATAATCATAGCGTGTATGATTGAGTTCTCCCATAAAAACTTTAAATTGTTATGTTGAGCTCTACTAAATTAGCAAAGTGGTGTAGGGTATCATAAAGTCGGACCCGCCCGACTTTAAGACTTTCTTTACTGTTTTTTTTTTTAAATTTTATGGAATGAAAGCAAAAAATGTCGGAAAAAGCATAGAATTTTAGAATAAGTTTGGATTTTTCGAATTGGTAACCTTTGGCACAAATTATGGCCTTCAAACGGCCAATGAAACCATTACACGCTGCCCGAATGTTGCTCTTCCTTGCTTTCCAAAATACTCCAGACACAATAGTCCAACGGATTGGTATCCGGAGATTTTGGTGGCCATTGTGCGCTGCAAATGAAGCGAGGAACCTCATTTTGTAACCATCCTTGGGTGGCGCGTGCTGAGTCCTTTTGGAATGTCCAAGGTCAGCGGCCAAAATGTTTGCGGCTTTAATACACCCTCCAGAATATTTTCGCGATAATATTCGGCATTTATTCTGATGCCACGGTCGATTAATACGGGCGGAGAGCGACCATCGGCTGTTATGGCGGCCCACACCATCACAATGACCGACGCTTTAGTTCTGGTGGCCAACCGAAGGTGTACATTTTCAGCTGACCTCTTTGGCAAGTAAACACAATCATTTTGTTTGTTTACAAACTGCTGGGCAACGAATGTTTTCTCATCGGAGAAACCCAAATTCGGCAGCTCACCACTTTCGGCCAAGCGAAGCAACTCTTTAACTCTTTTTTTTCTGGAAAATTCTCACCAAAATGCTTTTGAACGCTGGTAAACAATATAATGAGCTGTCACTAGAATCTTTTTAACAGCTGTCGGACGAGTGGCCTAGAAATGACAGCAGTCTGTATATTCATAATCAGCATAAAATTCGAAGTCGATTTAACAACGTCCGTCTCTCCGTCTACTTGTCTTTCTGTTGTAATCACGCTTCAGTCAAAACGAATAAAGATAGGAATCTAAAATTTTGCACCGATCTGCAATCAAGTCAAGTTCGAAGATGGGTACCCCCGATATTCGGTGTTTTGTTCATTTTAACCACATTTTTCAATGGAATTGTCGGAAAATCTACACAAGAAGATCTTCGTGACTACTTTACCCCCTGAAAGAGAATTTTCAAAATAGGTCAACGATATCGTATAGCCCCTATACAACCTTTATTCGGTGTTTCGATTATTTTAGCCATATTTGCAATGGAATAGTCTGAAAATCCACAAGGAGAGGAACTCTGAGTACTTTACCCCCTGGTAGAGAATTATCTATATAGGTCTACGCTTAAGTATAGCACCTATATAACGCTACCCCGAGATATTCGGTATTTCCAGGATTTTCGCTACATAATTCACAGGAATTGCGTCAAATTTCGTATTTGAAGTTCGTTATGGGTATTACAACTTATGGCGGATATTGTCTATGCAGGTTCACGTCTTAGAATAGCCCCCATACTCTCACAACGGTATCTCACTTTATTCGGTATTTTTATGATATTAGTGACATTATTCAGCGGAATTGTTTTGAATTTTGTTTTTGAAGTTCGAAATCCTTACAACAGCCTATGACAAAAATTTACTTATCTAGCACCACGTCTCCCGATATAATTTTAGCGATATAATTTTAGCGACATTATTCACCGGAATTGTTTCAAATTTGACATTTGAAGTTCGTAAAGGATCCTGTAAAATTGTTTTTGCAGATTCACGTCTTTGTATAGCCCCCATATGACGGTACCTTCCGAAATTCGGTACTTTGATGATTTTAGCGACATTATTCATCGGAATTGTTTCAAATTTGGTATTTGCATTTCGTAATGTATTCTACAGCATAGGACAGAAAATTGTCTGTGCAGGACCACGTCTTCGTATAGCTCGCATATAACGGTACCTTCCGATATTCGGTATTTGAAGTTCGTAATGGGTACTACAACCTGTGACGAAAATTGTCTATGCAGGTCCACGTTTTTTGATGATATTAGCGATATTATTCACCGGAATTGTTTTGAATTTTGTATTTGAAGTCTTATGCAGCACCACGTCTTCGTATAGCCCTCATATAAAGGTTTTCATTTGAGCGGAATTTTTCGAAGTAGTTTTTGTTTGAAATTTTTCAATTTACTTTCGAATGGTGGAGGGTATAAAAATTTCGGCCCGGCTGAACTTAGCTGCTTTTTTTATTTGTTTTTGATTCACTTTATCACATAAATATTTTGAGATCATAAAACTAAAGGCTTCTATTTAAACTCAAACTCCTTCCAAAATTTCGAATGAGTAGGCACATAATTGATCGGGGCACATTTAAGAAATTTTGGTCGCTTGGATATTCGTATCTGAAGTTTCAGAGACGCATTTTAACAATGTTATGTTTTCAACATTAACACACAGATTAAACTTAAGAATTCTACCATAAATGCACTACTTGTTCGTTATTATCTAAAAATTTGGTACCCATTTTGGTACTCTAAACAAATTCGTAGAACATTGCAATACAAAATTATTTATTATCAGTCTAAACAGTGTTGCCATAGTCAAAAAGAAGTTTTGCCATAATTCCATAACATATCTAGGCAACCAAATGATAAACATTGCTTATTTATTACCGTCAAAAGAAACGAACTCGTAACATAGTTCCAATTAGTCTTTCCAACCTGATAACATGTCCAAAGCAACGACAATAAAAGAGGCCCTCAAACGATGGGAAGAACGTGAGCAGCAAAACGCCACACAGGCCACGGCCATTGAGTTGCAATTTCAGTGGCCACCCATTGAGAAAATGGACAATACATTGGGAACACTGGTCAATTGTGAGTGAGTATCGAATTCTTTTTCCACCTCGCATTGTAAAGTTTTTTTTTCAACAAAGTGAAGTGTGTTTTTATGAGAAGGGCCGAAAAAAGTGAAATTTAACTCTTTCAACTCCCTTCTTTCCCATAAAATTCACGTTCCTTTCCGTAAACATTTCCTGATTACTGTCTTTTTAAAAAAAACCAATAAAATGTTTTTTCTCCCCTTCCAGACGTCTCAGCCTTTCGACCAATATGATTGAGAAAATTTTCGGCTTGAATGGCATGAAAAATCTTCGGGTCTTATCTTTATCTCGCAACTACATTAAACAGATATCGGGTTTGGTATGTTAAAATAATGAATATGTTTAATAATTGCTACTACAAAAATATTTTCCTAGGAAGCCGTTGCTGAAACCCTTGAAGAGCTATGGTTGAGTTACAATTTAATCGAAAAACTCAAAGGCCTATCCGCTCTCAAGAAATTGAAAGTTTTATACATAAGCAACAATCTCATTAAGGATTGGGCCGAATTTAATCGTCTACAAGAATTGGAAACTTTAGAGGACTTGGTTGTGGTTGGTAATCCCATATCTGAGGGTATGGATGAGGCCACCTGGCGGGCAGAGTGCATAAAACGTTTGCCAACAATCAAGAAATTAGATGGTGAACCGGTGGTAATGAATGAAGAGCCGACTTTATAAAAAATTATGTAGTTTATGAATAATGCGTTTTTTTGGTTGCGCTTTTGTCAATAAATTGTGTGTAATGGAATGTTAACAATTGCTTATGAATTATTAATAGTTATTTTGTTAGGTTAACAAATGAAATGTAAGTTTATGAATATTTTAATATGTAAATGCGTAGGTGTGATTATTTTTTTGTTTAGTGCAAAAAATATGTTAATATGTGAATTGTTATTAATTTTCACAAATACAAATAATTTACATTTTGCTTTAAAGTTTAAACTCTAGTGCTGAATATAATTACAGAATTTTATATTCTCAGAAGAAATTTGATTGAAAAGTTGAAAAAATGTCACATTTTGCTAACATCGGTTTGAAAATGCGGACAGCTGAATATCGGAAGGTACAGTTATATGGGAGCTATACCAAAACGGGGACCTTTATATCTCGTTTTCAAATCCTAGACACTATAAACGCTATTGAGTTAAAGCTATATTCAAATCTGAACCGATATCGAATAAATATGACAGAGGTTTTTCTGACCTATATCTGCTGTCTGATACCAAATAACATTGTTGTGAAGCGTATATTAAAATAGTGAGGGGCTTAAACACCATATCAGATGAAATATATATAGAGGAGCTATTGCTATACCAATTTTCCAGGCTGAATTCGGTCGTATTTGTCAAAATCCACTCCATTGGGCTGATATTAACCATTTTAAACGTGAAATTGTATAAATATGAATATGCGTGTTATATTCAAATCTGAACCGATCTCGATAAAATTTGGCAGATGCATTTTTGAGCTGTGTCTGATATCAGGTACCAAATATTATTGTTATGGAGTGCATATTACGAATATGAGGAAATTAAATCCTAAATTAGATAAAACATATATATGGGAGCTATAACTTTATCTGAACTGATTTTCAATAAATTTGACACACTCCTGCTCCTAGGCTGAATTTGGTCGGATGTGAATTCATTTGGACGAATATTATACATGTGGCGCATAATAAAATTTTAAATCGGTCAAAAATGTATATTGGAGCCAATATTGACCAAAATTATCGGCCATACTTCTGGACTGAACTTGGCCATGTGTGCTAAAATGCATTTGATTCAAACTGAACTTTTGAAGCCGGACGATACTTAATATGGGAGCTACATCCAAATCTGACCCGATTATCAGCAATTTCAATGGGACCAAACAAATTCCTCGAAATACTCATGTCAGACACAACAAAGTATATATATTATTGATCAGCGTAAAATTCTAAGTCGATTTAGCCATGTCTGTCTGTCCGTCTGTTGCAATCACGCTATCTTTCAAACGAATCAAGATAGAAGGCTAAAATATTGCCCGCGTGTTTATTTATCCAGTAGGCAGGTTAAGTTCGTAAATGGGCCATGTAGGTCCACGTTTTCATATAGCCCCCATATAACGGTACCTCCCGATATTCGGTATTTTGATGATTTTAGCGACATTATTCACCGGAATTGTTTCAACTTTGGTATTTGAAGTTCGAAATGGATATTACAGCCTATGACAGAAAATTATCTGGGCAGGTCCACGTCTTCGTATGGCCCCCATATAATGGTACCTCCCTATATTCGGTATTTTGATGATATTAGCGACATTATTCACCGGAATTGTTTCAAATTTGGTATTTAAGATTCTTAATGGATGCTTCAGCCTATGACAGAAAATTGTCTATGCAGGTTCACGTCTTCGTATAACCCCCATATAACGGTACCTCCCAAAATTCGGTATTTTGATGATTTTAGTGCCATTATTCCCCGGAATAGTTTCAAATTACGTATTTTGAGTTCGTAATTGAACCTACAGTCTGTGACAGAAAAATGTCTATGCAGGTCCACGTCTTCGTATAGGCCCCATATATCAGTACCTCCCTATATTCGGTATTTTGACGAGTTTAGGTACAATACGAAATTGTTTGAGATGTCGTATTTGACGTTAGTAATGGATGCTATAGCCTGTGACAGAAAATTGTCTATGCTGGTCCAGGTCTTTGCACAGCTCCGATGTAATGGTACCTCCCTATATACGATATTTTGATGATTTTAGCTACATTATTCACCGTTTATTTCAAGTTTCGAATTTGAATATGGTAATGGCTAATGGCAAACAATGCCTATGTAGGTCCACGTCGTATAGACCCCAAAATAACGGCAATATTCGGTATTTTTAAAATTTAACAGAATTTTTCACGAATTTATTTTTTTTAAATTTCCAAATTCGTTCCAAATGGTGGAGGGTATTCAAAGTTTGGCCCGGCCGAACTTACTGCTTCTTAATTTGTTTTTCATATAATCCTTCTAGAAGTGATATCATTCACTCTATAGCAATGTTATCGATATTAATAAACGAGTAAAGTAGTTGACTGACTGACTAACTTAATGATTCATCAACTCCCAGACGAAACGGCTGAAGCTAGAATCTTGAAGTTTTGTGTAATTGTACGAAAGGTACTAAAATGTACTACATTTGGTGCGATTTCGTGTTATGTGAACGGTTAGAGCTAGAAACTTGAAATTTGAAGGTTGAGGAGTACGGTCGATGTAAGAGGTAGTAAGGTAAGTACTTATTAATACGAAAAGTACTAAACGGTACTTAATTTGGTACAATTTGAATTTGGAGGAACGGATGGAGCTGGAGGCCTTACGTTTGAAATTAACATTACTGGCAGAGTGTAGAATTGGGGTATGGACAAAATTTCAAATTTTGTACTTATGTATAGGAACGGTACTAAATGGTACTAAATTTGGTACTATTTGAATTTGGAGGAACGGATGGAGCTGGAGTTCTTAAATTTGAAATAAACATTACTGGCAGAGTGTAGGATTGGGGTATGGACGTAATTTTCAAAATTTGTACTTATGTACAGGAACGGTACTAAATTTGGTACAATTTGGATTTGGGTGAACCAAAAGAGTTGGAATCCTGAAATTTGGAACTAAGATTACATTGTAGGGCTGAGGTATGTAGGTGGTTTTGGGAATTCGTATTTATGTATACTAAATGCTACTAAATTTGGCCTAAAATTTGAAAATAAGTACCACAAGAGTACAAAAGGTAAGAAGAGTACAAAATTTAGTATGGATCGTGGGGATAGTTAGATTTCTGAGTTGTGGTGTTTGGGAATTGGTGTGTAGTATTGAGATATGTAGGTGGTATTGGAAATATGAACCGTAGATGTATAAAAGTTATTAAATGACACTAAAATTGTAATTGTGGTCGTTGTTCGTGTGTAGATTTGAGATGTGAAGTGGTTGTGGAATTACGTACTAAAAAGTACTAAATTCGGTATTTGGGTAATTTATTGAGTTGGAAATTTAAAATATGGAATTAGTATCACCTTTTGTGTGAATTGGTTGATATAGGGTTGGGAATTTGGAAATACCTACTAAAAAGTACGGAAATTACTAAATAGTATTCACTTTGGTACTTGGGGAAGAAATAGAGCAAAAACTCTGAATTTTGAAGTGAGAGTCCTTGATGTTGCGTAGGAAAAACAAACTAAAGTGTTTTTCGAAATTTTAAGAATTTGTGTACCAGAAGTACTAAAGTGCACAAAATTTAGTACAACTTGGAATTATATAAACGGGTAGAGATAGAACCTTAAAATTGGATATAGGAATCAAGTCGGGAAAATAGTGTTTATATAAGGAGTTGATTTAGGGTTGGGAAGTGGAAATTATTCGTCCAATTTATAACTTAATATTAATAAATTGTGGTCATTTATTTAATAAATTATATTTGGGGTAAAAAATTCTCTTAACATAAATTCAGTTAATATAAATACCTTATTCCGCATACGAAGTAGCGGGTACTTGGTAGTTTGGTATAAACGATAAAAATGTCTCCGTCAAATTTGGTAAATTTGGTTCAGAATTATACATATATGTCTCCCATATATTAGCTCTCTCTGAAACCAAAGCCAAAGGTTTATAGATGGTATGACCTACCTCAAATAAATTCCCAATATAAATTCTTTTGTAATGGGATAATGTAGGGTATCATATAGTCGGCCCCAACCGACTTTTGACTTTTCCTTACTGGTTTACATTTTACTCAAATTTTCCATTTAATCTGGCAAATTTTTGGTTTTTAAGTTCTAATTTTGTAGAATCGCTAATGGTCAAAAATGGTCCACTCTTTAGTACAGCCTTAACATGAAGATACTACTTTTTCTTAGTTATTGCTGGGGTCTTGGCCATATTTTGTTACGATTTCATTAAAGGAATTTTTAAACCATATTTTAAGGAAAGGACCAAAAAGACCCATTTGGTGACCCGTTTGACCATATTCCGTTGAGTTTTTGCTGTAAATATTTTTTGTGAGACACTGTGGAATTAAATCCTATTTGAAAATATTATATATTTTGTTAAACTATTATTGACTTGAAAGGAATGAATTCAATAAAATAAGTAAATAATATCGGTCCCCGTGGAGTTCCTCCCGATCAACTGTAACCCTAGTGGTTTCGTCATGCCATCTCAAGCGATTGAAACTCTTTGCTAAAATAGAAAAATCTCCCAATATTTACCGAATACCTTCGATTACGTTTAATCTTGAAGACCTGGATTTTTGGTCCTTCAGTAGACTGGTATTTTAGAAGACACTTATAATCAATTAACTCACCTTCGATGGTTGTAGATATGTCTCTCTGACCTATTCCACCCTCCAACATTGAGCCCCTTTTTTTTGCAGAGTCAAATTGATACTTAAAAGAATCTATCTATAAAGCAATCATTGTTTAAAATGACTAATACGTTTTTTTAATCATTTCAAAAAAGGTTTCATTTATACGTCTACTTAAAATGTGCATCAACAGGCCAACGAGCACATCTCATATCATTGTATCATTTAAAACTACACTTCAAAATGTCCTTAAATGATGTCTTTATTTGTGCAGGGAGAGAAGGACAAATATGTGTCCCTGTGTGTTGGGTGTGCGTGTGTCTTGTTTCACATAACAAATATGAGTAGTTTAACAACCATTGAAGATGATTTAACGACATCCAAACATATGTAGCTGTGTGTGTACGAATAGTTTATTATTTATATACACAGTGATATACATATGTTTGAATAAATGTAAGAACATGTCCTTATTTTAATATTGTATCCTTT